ATACATCGTGACAGCGTCCGTAAGAAGGAATGTTCAGCTTGAAGATCAGCAGCACATCCTGAGCTAGATCGAAGGACGAGCAGATGCACGACTGTCAGCGCTGAGTCGGACCTGGTTAACTGCCCGTTTCAAGCTTATCAAAACGGTGCTGCTCTTGTGAGTCCAACAATATATCGTCAGAGCAAACAGTCAACCTGCCAATCAAGTGTCAGAGCAAGGCTGAAAATGCCAGGCTCTCGTCAGCCGCTTACTGGAAGCGTGTGCTAAAGCTCCCCGTAGTGGCCACGGGGATGCGCGAGAAGGCTGCCCCATCCTGCAGCAAAGTGAACAGGCTCTGAGATTGTGCATGTTCCTTGTGCCCAGCCCTTTCCATAACCTTCTTTGGGGCTCGCAGAACTGGGGCGTGCATGAAAAGGTCTCAGAAAATGTGACGCCGCACAATGACCATTGTTTGGGATACCTCCAAATTCTTTGCCGTTGGTGAAATGTACTTCTGGAAGACTAGCCCAGCGGGTAGCTAGGACTGGAAAAGTTGGTTTTTACCTGGCAGAAATGCTCTTGTATAAAGTCAATCAAGAGGGCATGTCTTGAAGTCTTTCTGATATGCTCCTTGCCGCAAGGGCTTGTCTCTAGAACAGAATCAGTGTCCAAAATCTAAGTGGATCTTTGAGTGTCTCATTTAAACACCTCTTACTTGGAAGTCTAGTCAAAAGTGGATCAAACAGGGCTGTTAGATTGCCCTGTCATTCAGTTGACTGACAGCAACTTATTCTGGGGGCCAGGCCCCCCCTCACTCAAGAAGCAACTTGGCATCCAGAAGATCGCAAGTCCCTATGCGCTTTGATTTGACTGTGATCTCAAAGTCTAGGGAGGGAAATCCAAAGGCAGGCTTTCAATTTCAGGTCACAGGTCTGCAGATTATTTCTCCTTATATCCTGCGCCCTTAGTCTTGTTTTACTTGTGATCCTTTTGCAATTCCCAGGAGATGAAGGCTCCCTTGAACCCGGAAACGTGGTCTGCATAAGGGCAGGGCCTCTCGAAACACGAAAGGTGAAGCTCAGGACAATGTTTTCAAATACTGACCTGAAAGAAGAAGCTCTCAGAAATGGGCCCTTACCTGGAAGGGCTTGATCTCCGTGCAAGTGCACCCCACTCCCTCGCAGCCCGCAGTGTCACCCGTCAATCTGAGCACCCCCTGGCGGCCGCTGGACGTGGTCAAACCGCGGGCACAGGGTACTCCAAGAACCCATCGAAAACAATGACGTCCTGTGTGTTGTCTTTGAAGTCCGGGCACACAATGCTGACGACACCCCCGCCAATGGACTGAGTGCACGCGCCGGCGACGGGTCTGAGGAGCAGCAGAAATAGGGGGGCAAGTGAAAGTGTGGCGAGCGCCCAAGAATGGAGGCGGCTTCTCTCACGGGCCATGTCTAGTGATTCTTAACGTCAAGCCCCGCAGCGCCCTCTAAGTGTGCACCTGGGTTGCTGCCTTTGGAAACAAGCTATACAACGCCTTTTTCCAGTGGGACTCGAAGGTTTATGTCCTGAGCTGAGGGGAGACGATCAAGTCATTGTGGTCATCACTTGCTCCACAAGGAAGTACAGAAGGACGCCCATTGCACTGGGTCATGAGAAGCTTCAAACCGAGGACTGCTGCGCATGCTACTGTCTGAAGTTTTCAAGCTGGATTGTGCAACTTGTCAGAAGAGGCTAGCTGAGAATCTGCTTTCTTTATCTACTGCAGAGCCGTCAGCTGGAAAGCTACCCAGCAATGGCATGTAAATTCAAGAAAGAACCTCTTTAAGGACCACCGTACTCACGTCACCGTGCTGACGAAGAACTGGGTCCTCGTCGATCTCTACATTCATGAAATGGAAACCTATTGATCAGGTTATAGGCTAGCTGACCATACTTTGACCCGGCGCTCTATCTGAGCGCCTCACTACGGTTCACGGTGTTCTGGACCCTTGCAGCAGTGTGGAGTCTGATTTTAGCTGCCCTTTGTCACTGGCAGAGCTGCAACGGAGCAGCGCAATCACCACATAATTCAGAGCTGCTCAAATGCACTAGTGACTCAGTGCAGTGCTCACTCAGACTGCTTGCTTTGAGGATGTTGTCACTACTACTACTACTAGTCCCGCCGTACAGCCGCATGCCGTACGGTTGCAAAAGTGCGACTCCCACATCTTCATTTGACCGTACGGCAGCACTTGATCCCATCATTGGATTACCAGTAACCATAGCCGATCTGCCGCAGTGCATCATCATGCAGCAGAACCGTAGTAGAACTTTGCACAAACAGGGCAGGCCCTCACCTGACTCTGCAAGTGTATGCTTTAGCTTGCCAATCAATCGTGGCATCGGATGCCTTCTAGATTCTGTTTTAACCATCGACCGTTTGAATGACTTCGGGCGTCAACAACAGTCGCCGGTGAGAAAGGCGAAACAACGCCCAGACCACCCAAGCAGTACTAATACTGGCCCCTTCTCGAAGGCAAGCAGCATCCGACAACCATTTAGAAGGTGGCGTGAGACTTTAAGAAGCTCACCCGGTCGGTCGTCTTTGCCGCAACAACCGACGAATGGAAGGGGAATGGAAGTAGCTCGACTCGTGACTCCTCTTTCAAACTGGCTCGATATAACTGAGGGGACAAATATCTAAACAGAATGGTCAATAGTGTCAATACGGAACCTACCAAGACCAGTTGTGAAAGCACGCTGTACCGGATAAACATTACGTGAGTAAGTCTTACAGACATCGAAATGCGACCATGCACCACTCTGAAGCACGTGAAATTATCTAAGGAGTTGTCCAAGACCGTACCCTTGAGGCTGCAAACCACCACGTCACACTGGCTGCAACCCAGGTAAGAAGAAAAGCGATGGTCTTCTCAAAAGTGGGGGCAGTATTGTGACTGGATCCGTCACCGTACAAAGCTTGCAAGGTCAATATTCCCTATCGACAGAGCAGAGAACGACTGAGAAAGTGTAACTTTTTGAATCAAATTAAGCTTGGTGGCGACTGAAATATGGCTCAGTGGCACCCTTACAACCACGTGTGGATGGTCGCACCCAGTCGAGGAGCCCGCGGCATATTTGCTCTCGCCGAAGAAAGTGCTTTAGTGCTCAACATGACGACCTGAAAACACGGATTCATTCATCGGCGAACAACGTGTGCTGCTGCGTGGTCGCGGAAAGTGAATGAGGTAGAAGGGTTTCTCTGAGAACAAATCTTAGAAACGTCTTAAGTTAGCACGAGTTGAAATGGACGCGAGCGAGGAACAGAGACTCATTCAGCAGTCAGCTTATGGGGCACACTGCGGGCACATCGCTAGGAGACTCGGAGGATAACAAGTCAGCTACCGAAAATCCCCCACAGCGTATCTGGTGATTCCAAAGCAACCGCGTGCCGGACGGTCTGAAGCTAGCTAAAGCACAGCTGGAACCGGGTGAAAGCGAGAAAACTAGTGCCAGTAGGAAACAGACATGCCGGATTCACAAGAAGCGACTACGAGCATATTAGCCTCCTAGCGTTCGGAGAGGATTCCCCGGCTCAATGATGTCCAGATCAGCGGCAGGCGGGGGTGACCGGGGGCCCGCGGAGTGCGCGCGCACGCCCCCCACCACAGCCAAGAGCAGCAGCACCAACTGCGCCAGCACACCAAGGTTAGCGAACAGAAACGAGGAGCCCGTTAGAATGTTGGGCCAACGACCTCGCACACTGTGGGGTGGCTGCTGTCAGACTGCTCAACAATGTGGGAGTCAAACACTGCAAGAGATTGCGGAAGCACCTGTTCAGGCTCACCTTGATCATCAGTGCATTGGTGGCCATGTTTCTCTGTCGCCTCTCTGTCGACAGAGGAATCGAGGCCTGGACTTGATTCTTTGGTTGGGCGGCTGGGTGTGGCTGCGAGCTTTGAGATCTGGCGTAAAAGGCAACTGTTCCTACGCTTATCTAGTCTCAGATTTGGGCCTTCTGGCCGACTTGTGCGATCGAAGCACTGCTCCTGAGGCACTCTCAGATTCTCATCAAGTCCTCGAGCCTCAACCGCTGACACGCTCAAGATTGCACGCATAACTGACCTCTCCAAATTCAACGTTTCTTTCCTGTCCGCCCTGAACTTTGAGCGGTCGCGCGTTTGCGTTTCCTCCAAAATGGGCCGTGGCGGTTTCCCGTTATTCCCATGTTGCTGCCCGGCTTTCCCCGGCCTCATGTCGTGCAACGGCCTGACGCCCAGATTGCCCGGCCATGCAGTCACCTCAGGGAGCAGTTTGCCCAGAGTTGAAGCGGGGCAACAACAGCTAAAAACAGCTCAGAACAGCTAACAACAGCTAACAACAGCGAACAACGCCCTGAACTTCTCGAGAGCAAACGGGGCCTTGGACAGATGGACGAGACCGCTCGTACAGTGTTTCGATATTCACGCTGCAATCGGAACCGTACACGTGGACGTTCCGGAGACGTCTTCGGTGTCCATCAGGATTGCGAGGCAGAAACATGCGAAAATGACGGAGCGGTTAGAGCTGAGGGGCGACGAAGTCCATGTGACGGAGGATGTCCGGAAAGACTTGAATTAGCCGCTTTTCTGATTCTGAGTCACGCAGCGAAAAGCGAGTCTTTCCTTCTTTAGCTTAAAAGTGTCAATCAGTGGTCTCT